TACCTAAGCTCAGTGAGATTCCTGTCTTTGGCTTGGTACTATATATACCTACTCCTGAACCTTCATGGGTTTTGGAGCCGTCTGTATACCAGGTGAGATCTGCATGAATAGGAGGTCCTCCCGTCCACGCTTCCCTGTCTGGTATACTTACTTTATATTGCTTTTGAAAGCTATACTTTGGAAGCATTTCGTCTGAAGGCATTCCCATTATTTGGTCGTTCTCCAACTCTTTATATAGCTCGCTGTAGTCGCGTCCATGCAAACTGCTTATGGGCGATGAACCTTTGTGCAGTCTGTATGTGACAGACCTGGCTTCGCCTTGAATGAATATATGTAGTGGTGTTAGGTTTAGCATGACTTCTATAGCTGCTGTTGGAGTCGTTCTCATAGCTCCCGTGGTACTCAGGCATGCTTGCCTTTGAATACCATTGAGCTGTCGAATGGCTCCAGCTTGCCTAGTCTTTGGCCACCATACCACCGACCCGTAGGTTATCATCGGCCTTATGACTCTGGTATATAACCACAGGGACATTTTTGGTTGTAATCCCCAATTTTTTCCACACAACCTTCGACATAAGTTGAAGGACGTTGTGCTCTTTTGGGTGACTTTTTGCAAGTGTTGATTCCATGTTAACCTGTGGTCAAAGATGACTCCCAAGTATTTGGCCTCTTGAGCGAATGGAATCTTCACTCCTTTCAGTACTGGTGACTTTAGTCCTGTTGGTACTTTTCGTTTTGTAAAGTTGACTATTGTGGTTTTGTGAGGGTTTACTGTTAGTTCCTCCTCTCTGCACCACTCGTCGACAATGTTTAGAGCGGTTTGTGTGCGCTCCGATATTGTACCTGCGAACTTGCCTCTTACGACGATCGCCAGGTCATCGGCATACCCTAGGCAGTAAAAATCTGCAGATATTAGCCTTTTTATAAGTTCATCCACTAGGACTGACCAGAGAAGGGGTGATAGTACTCCTCCCTGGGGGCAGCCCCTGCCTGCTTTAGCTGTCAATGTAGCTTCGCCTAGAGATGATGTTATTACCCTTTCTTCTAGGCTGGCTTTTATCCACTGACATAGGACTACTGGTACCCCTTTTATTGCTAATGCGTTAATTATAGATCTTGTTTGAGCATTACTAAAAGCTCCCTCAATATCTACGAAAGTTGCTACTGCCATTTCTTTATCCTCGAGGGATTTTGACAATAGCCTGTTAAGATCATTCAGGGCCAAATCGGTTGACTTTCCTGGCTGATATGCATATTGACGGTCGCTGAGAGGATTTTCTCTCAGTAGTTCGTCTCGTATATATCTATCTATTAGTCTTTCTAGCGTTTTCAGCATGAATGAAGATAGACTGATTGGGCGGTACGACTTTGGCGTCATGTCATTAAACCTTCCTACTTTAGGGAGGTATATGACTTTCACCTTTTGCCACGCCTTTGGTATGTGTCGCCAGGCTATACATGCTTTAAATATGCGACACATATGTGGAATTAGAATTTCCTGTCCCTTTTGTAGTAGAATGGGATATATTCCATCTACTCCTGGGGATTTGTATGATTGAAATTTGTTTGTAGCCCATCTAATTTTGTTCGGCCTCGATATTTCTGTAGCTAGCCTCCATTCCAAAGGAGTTGGCCTACGAGACCTTCTTTGAGGGCTATATGCTACTATCGGGTCTAGCAAAATTTCTGCGGCCGGAAAGTGTACTTCTGTGAGCATTGTTAACGTTTCCTCGAAGGTTTTCGTATAGGTTTCGTCATCTTTCCTGAGAAATCCTACTTGGTTTGCAGCACCCTCTTTAGCTAAGACTTTGTGGATTCTAGAGCATGTGGGTGTTTCAGATAACTCCTCACAGAACTTCCTCCACGATTGCCTTTTAGCCTTTCTTATCTCCTTGTTGTACTGCGTGAGTTTAGCCTTGTATAGGGCCCAGTCTTCGGTTGACTTGGCTTTATTAAATAGCCTTCGCACTTCGCCTCTAAGGCGTTCCAAGTGTTTATTCCACCAGACTGTTTTTGTTCTTTGCTGCCTTGTTTTCTCCGGACAGTTTTCCTCGTAAGCGGTTATAATAGCCTTACTTACTTGGTCTACTGCTCGGGCAAGGCTTTGTTCACCTGTTATTTCCACCATACCCTCTTCGAGATACTCTCCAAGTGATGTTGAATACCTTTCCCAGTTCGTCTCTCTAGGGTTTCTGTATTTGGTTGAAATTCGAGGTGGGGTAATTAGATCAAATCTAATCTGTCTGTGGTCTGAGCACGATGGTTCGTCTGACACATGCCACTTTGAAATGTTATCACTTGCTTTACTCGAGCACAGAGTCATATCTAAGACTTCTTTTCTCGTTGCCGTGACGAAAGTTGGTTTGTTACCTATATTAGCAATTACTAAACCTTCGGATAAGATGAATTGTAATAAAGACTCACCTCTTATGTTGATGTCCGTGCTTCCCCACATGGTGTGATGGGCATTGGCATCGCATCCTATGATGAGTTGGAGGTTAGCCCTTGCCGCATATGAGACTATTTCGCCCATTATATGCGGGGGACATAGCTCCTCGCCTGGGAAATATGCAGAACAGACTAGCCATCTTTTTGTTCCTTCCTCTGTCGGCGTAGTTAGGAGAGCTGTAACAATATCAGCGGTGCACAGCACCGGTATTAGTACACAATTTACCCTATTGTTGTATAAGATGCATGCGCGTGGTCTTTTAGACCTTTCGTTGTACAGAATCTTACCTTGGTTGGGTTTTAGGCCTGCTACCCTCCCGCCATGTAACCAGGGTTCTTGCAAGAGGGCCAAATCTAGACCCTCTTTGTCGAACCTCCTACATACTGTAGCGGTGGACGCCTTGGCATGATGGAGGTTCACCTGAAGAACCCTGATCGATCTGCTCAGTTCTGTGAACTGGGCAGTTTGTCTGCCTTCTTAGAGGCCTCTCCAAGTTCCATAGGTACAGTCACCTCTTGGGCTTCTTGCCTCTTGAGGGGACTGACCCCACTGTGGGAAGACTCCACCTCGTCGTCCTCTACCAAGGTTTCTTCCTCTGAAGAGGACTCTTTGGTGTCCTCTTCCCTGCTGAGGGAAGACTTCACCTCGTCGTCCTCTGCCAAGGTTTCTTCCTCTGTAGAGGACTCTTTGGTTTCCTCTTCCCTGCTTGTGCCTGGGTTATTCACCTTTTCGGCGGGTTCTTGGTCATGTCCTCCTTTGACTCTGAATTTAAGTCTCCCTAGGTCATAGTAGGGGGACATGTCCAGCTTTTTTAGCTCTTCCAGGGATTCAGGATCCATCGAAAAAGCCCACGTTTGACCTTTTGCCGATGGGGTTTTACCCCACACCGTCCAAAGGTGTGTTGAAATAACATAAAGGATATGGAAAATCAGCAGATGAGCCTGGAAGGTAAATGTTCTAATGAAAAAGATTCAGTTATGAAAGTACAGAGCAACACCAAAAACTTAATATAAGGGTGTGTATATGCCGAAGATGCCTCGATGAGCGACGAACTATGACCGATAGGCGATGTAATAGCAAATGTACTAATTTAAATGATAGTGTACTGTACAGGGTTTTTCATTATAATTTGACCGCTATTTATTTTCATTATTATTGCAAACACAAAAAAAAGTTTTAAGTAAAAGTTATGTTGTTCTATCTGTACCGACTAAAAATGTATTAACAGGCTGAATTGTATATACAGGATGACTCCACCAAAATATAATTTCATTTTTTTAATGGGATACCCTATATATTTTTGCCATTTTAAGTAGACTTGCGTTTTCTGATAAAAAATATATAATATTTTTATTATATAGTGACTTATTGCACTATGAAAGCATAACACATAGATAGCTATGAAAATGATGTTTCCAAGTGAAACAGTTGTTTGTTTATTAAAAGTTGTCAATTGATTGCTTGTAATGGGTTTTACTGTGGCCCAAAAAGTTGAGGTAAAACAACAAAGCTTTCACTTGAAACTTTTTTTGAGTTCACAAGAATTATGAAAATAAGTAGTGGTCAAAATATAATGAAAAACCCTGTACATACAAAGAGTATTGTACAGTCGCACTGTAACGAAGTCACTATTTTTTTTATCTTACTTAAATTTATAAATTGTTTATTAAAAGTTATTTTCCGCTTGGGAACATTTGCAAGAACCCTTGTAATTGTTGTTTCTCTAGAGTTCCCGTTTTTTACCATTTGTAAGAGCCATCGTAGTTTAAAATATATTATTATTTACTAAAATTCGAATCCGGCTTTAAACATTCAATTTCTTGTAAATTATCTAGGTATATTCGGCAGGTGTCAAAAGGCATTTTTTATGTCTTCCATAATTAAATATTATAACTGGAGATTATATATGTGCCGTCCGACTTCACTCGTCGATTCAGATATTAAGGTAAGGTGTCAAATACGGTTAATAATTTATTTGGTTTTTATTATTTAAATCAGCCCTTTTGGCAGCATAACATCTGTCCCAAATTTATTTAATAAGAAATTCATTTTCTACTACACAGGTAGTGCCATTATTACCGTTTATATTTCTTTAACATTATTTAATTTCTTTTTCTTGTTTAAATATTTTATTTATACATATAATTTGGTTAATAATTCCGGTGTTTCTTTTCTTTTATTACCAGATCTAAACTGTTTTATTTCCGGGTACAAGGTGTGAGGTACTGTGTACTGTAGTGTTAGCAACTACTACATTAGCAGTGATCGCCTGGCATTATTTTAACCCCACTGAGTTTGCTTTGAGTGTGCTTTAGGTACACTCCAGGGTCGCAGAGTTTACTGCGTTATCAAAACTGACGCCCGGGCAACCTTTGACCTAGAGAACAGCTTGGCGCCAACTATTCCTTTCCCATTCGCCACTAAGTGAAATAAAAAAGTTTGTTACAGCACCATACATTTGTATTGAAATTCATCTAACCATTGCCTATCGGTCATCGATGTACACACCTTATACTTCAGATAAAAAAGAAGTTTATGTTTGTCAACTCACCTTCTGTATGATAAAACGCGTAAGCACCTAACAATGCCCACGTCATCACTACCATCGTCAATCCCACCTGGGATAAGATCCATTGACTAAATATTCTGCAACAACAGTTCAATTTAAGGATACAGTTTTTTTCGGAAGGACTCAGTTTGACATCGCAGTCGAAACCCGGGACGAATCGCAGTCTGTAGGGAATTAGATGAAGAGTTTGGACGGAAGCGTCGTGTTTTTTATTTTTGTAGTTTTGTTCTATGGTCATGTGATCAACGGAAATTGTTGTGTCGCCATTTTCCGCTCGCATCTTACGAATCGGCGAATCTGAAAAATACAGAAATTTGTGTAAATTGTAATAGTATTTAGAGTTTGTTCGATACAAGTTCTGATCATTTTCAAGGACGATTATCTACACTTTCTAAACTTAGTAGTAGTAGACGGAAAGGATACGACTATGTTACAATATAAAACAATCACTTTCAGGGTTACAATACTACTTTAAAGATAAAACTACCGACGGATCAGTGGTAGCTGCTCCACTTCAAACATGATGCGGACGACTATGTCCAATATCGGGAGAAAATGACGGTTTAGACTTTTTTTAAATATTTACAGTTTCTTGGTTTACGTTCATGAAATCAGGAACTTAGTTATCATGAGAAAATAACGTAATTCTCACCAAAATATTTATAATTTAAGAATCATTATGAGTCAACTAGTCTACATTAACAACGTCAAGATAAATTGGAGGATACTGGTGATCCAAAAATCACGATGAAAGTTTTCTCGGAATAAAGGTAAAAAAAACTTGAAAACGAATAATCAGATGAAGGTGCGTTTCTGTAGTAATAGAGGCAATTTGTTCAATATCTGATGTATCATCTGAAGACAAAGAGAAAAGGTTTTTTTGCGTCTTTTGGTACGGCGAAGAGTCTTGACGTTTGAGTTCTATATTTGGGTACCACTTTCAATAGTGAAAAAAAGAGGAGCATCACTGTAGCAAATAATAAAATCATCAAATCTGAAGAAAGAATTAAAGATAAATTTTGGGAATGACCTGAGTAATATAATTATAGAATTTGATATGGTTTTGTTTCCGATTATTTAGGTATTTCAACCGCATTAGCTAAACCTAGACTGAAAATTAGACAAAAATGTATATATTTAAAGTATCTATACATAATCGGTTGGAAACACGAAAACTTACTGGAATTTTTAAATTTGGAATAAATTTTTTAAATGTTACAAAGTATGGAGAACTTAAATTATTATATATATATATATTGTATATATTAACAAGAATTAAAATAAACTGGGGCCTATTTCATAAAAATGACTTATATTATTAGTAAATAATATTAGACTCATAAAATAATAATATAAGTTGGCTGTTTTCTGTTTCACAGAATATTTTAATTTACACATACTACTAGTGACAGAATCTTTTCTAATTAGGCATTCCAACGACTTGTCCAAATGGCTACCAGTGGGTACTGACCACATACTTTGATTACTATAAGAGGCAAGAAAGAGGTCCGACACGCCCAACATAGGGCGCGGCCATTTTGAACCCTGTGACACAGTTTACAGCTAAAGAATCAGATCGCTCACTCTGCGTCGGCACTTTTGATCTCAATGTTTCAGTTTATACACTGTGCAACTCGGATAATACAATATATGACAACCGTTTATAATAAAACAGCAGTCTTCTGCGTATCCTGAATTTGTATCCCTGGAGTGGATGTTATTTTGGAACTTTCAACTGGTCCGAGTAAGCTAACTGATTCTTTAGCAATAAACTGTGACTTCAAAAATAATATTCACTGACACTGACAGCAGCAAGCAAAATATCAGGTGCGTTTTAATCATCCGCTTCTGCTTCCGGAATTGTCGGTTTAGTCGATTTAACCTGTCAGATTAAAACAAGAAAACCGACAATTCCGAAGCAGAAGCGGATGATTAAAACGCACCTATTAAAAATATTGCGCCAAGATATAGGCAACACGTAATAAGGGTTCAAAATAGCGGAGTTTTCTATCTCCTTTTAAAAGGCACTCAGAAAGCTGCGCAGTGCGACCATTCTCCGTATAGTAAAAGAAAATCAAAGTATGTGATACTGACAGTTTAGATATGGCAATCCTGTTGTCATGCTGTCATTAACAGGGTCAATGATACATATATAGTTATATAGATTGCTCAAAGCTGGTCGTTTGCGAGCGGCCATATTGCCTGGCAAATATTTATTAATTTGAATCGGTTTAGCAAAAATGTGTTTTAAAACCAATTTTCAGCCTTTAGATATTTAAAAAAATATTTGCTTACATTTTTACTTCAAGGCATATAAGCTTATGTTTATTTTGTAAAATATGGATGATCAATCTATGTAACTATCTATTTCATTGAGCTTGTCAAATCACCAGGCCTACAGGGTTGCCATAATTTTGCTATATCATAACCTGTCAAAACCCACTGGTAGCCATTCAGTTTGGAATGCCTAATATATTAGCAGCATGGCAGCTACCTATTAGATCTAGTGTCCTTATTGAAGTTCAGTTGATATGTCAAAAGGTAGTATTTTTTAATTGTGAAGTGACATTCTTATTGAAATAAAAGATTCCTAAATTAAGCAAAAGGGAAGAAAAGACAAGACTGTTGAGGAAATGAAAAATATATCTTATATTTTTATTTATAGAAAGTGACAAAGAAAGATGAGAAAGGCAATTTCCATTAACAACAAAAATATTTTTGAAAACAGTTAAGATACGTGATTTTTAAATTAATTATAAAGCGATTTATTGAAATAGGTACATGTTTAATAAAATAAAGTTAAGAACATTTCACTTAAGTAATATGAGTATGAAAAAGAATATTCTCAGAAATCTTAAAACTAAACCTACAAAAATATAATTATTGAACATTCACTTTTCTTAACAAACCTAAAAAAATTACTCGTGAAAGAATTAATTATAAAATAAATATTATTTAAGTTTTAAAATGTCATGTGTTGTTAATTTTATTACCTAACTGTTGTAATTATTGTTACTTCTTTTAAATATGTATGTTTATAAACTAACTGAACATAATTATTTTTTATTGTAAATTAAATCAAGCCTAAATAAAATTTGTTTGTTTTTTCATCCTTAACCTAACCTTTTCTTGTCATTTTAAACCTCTTGTTCAAAATTTATTACTATTAAATTCAGTGTTTTTCTAAAACTTCAATTTAAACGTTATCAATGACCTTCATTGGCTTTTATATAGAATTCATTATACATTTAAAATTAATTGTTCCCAATAAAGCCAAAAAAACATAACCTCATAGTTTTAAAAATTCCTACATTCTTAGACTATTTTGAAGATTGGGCAACACTGCAAGGCTATGACTTCACAACTGATTGATGACGTTTTATATTGAATGCTCTATATAGTTCAAGTTTCTATAGATAATCGGTTGGATAAATTTTTAAATTTGGAATAAATTTTTCAAATGTTAGAAAGTATGGAGAACTTAAATTATCATGATGAAAGTTTTCTCAGAATATAGGTGAATAAAACTTGAAACCGAAGAATCAGAGGAAGGTGCATTTCTATAGTGAAAAAGACAATTTGTGTAAAATCTGATCTATCATCAGGAGACACAAAAAGATTGTTTTTTGTGGCTTTTGGTGCGGAGAGTCTTGACGTTTGGATTTTATATTTGGGTACCATTTTTAATAGTGAAAAAAAGAAGAGCAAATAATAAAATCATCAAATCTAAAGAAATAGGTAATTTAAAAGTAATTTTTTTGAATGATCTGAGTAATATAAGCATAGAATTTGATATAGTTTTGTTTTTGATTATTTAGGTATAAGCTAAACCTAGACTGAAGTCTGGTATTTCGCATTAACTGATAAAATATTCCTAATGGAAACCCCGATTAAATATTTCCGTGAGAATTCTACGAATTCCATGATAACAATTACTTTTTCCACTTTTAATTCCTACTTTGAAGAAAATTGATAACTTGAATAACTGATATGTATCTTAGTAGCTGCACGCCATAATGAAGTTTAGGGGTAAACGATCTTAGATTTATATAATTCACAATTGGACAAAATACAAATCAATAATTTATTCGACTGCGTATTGTTGGTTTATTTATATAAACATATACCAATATTAACTTTAATCAAACATGGTAATGAGATTTTTGATAAATATTTATTCGTTGTCTATTTACCTATAAGATATTCAAACACAAAAAGCGCATTATACGTTGTGATAATGGGATAAATATAATTTTTCTACAACTATAGTTCGAAGGCATAGTTTTTCTTTCGTAAACTTGATGATTTTTTACAATAATTGTAAATAGAAAATAGTAGTTTGTACAAGAATGGCTATAAACAATCCACTCGAGTGGTATGGTATATTTTTTCTACGACCCACTAACGAAAATCTACAAGTATTAAAAATTATTTTAGGTTATTAAGATACCCATAATTTATGACTTAATATATTTAAACTCCATTTTCAAAATCGTTAACAACTTGTTTTATTAAAATTAATTCAAACAATAATAAAGGTATTATTCTACTAGAAAATTAATAGTAGTTTGTGCAACAAGAGTGAATTTGATGGCCACATCGCACGATGACAAGAATATAGTATATAAAAATTATATATTTATTTAATTTGTATTTACAATCTTATACTTATGAACATTTGACATTATATTAATCTTTGGCTAATAGCAGAGACAACTACGAGACGTGTAACTTCATATAAAAATCGGTTCTGTGGATCGCTCATGCAGTGTATATCGTTTTCTCCCTTTCTCTTAATATTTGTGGATATGACTATCTCTTTTACAAATCACTCAAGGCAATGGTGAGATGTCGCCACCATAGCCCCCTTCTCTTTATGTTCTGTCGTTCTGTCATGTATATATCTTGTCATAAAAGTCGTTATTTCTAGCCTAGCTTTTCGTTAGAGGTTATGTTTTGGAAAAAATTTTTGTTTATTTTATATTGTGGCTTTTTATATTGTAGTGTGTGTAGTGTTTGTAACGTATTTTGTTTGCATTTTCAAGAGCTTATTATATTACTAAAGCTAAAATAGTTTAGACTTTTTTTGATTAAATAGCAATGCCGGCATTTTGTTTAATTTGTGGATGCAGTGAAGATGAGGTGTCTAAAATGCATTACTTTCCACGCAATTCTACAAAGTAAGTACAATCTATCATTTAATTCAAATAAAATTGGTTTACTCGGCTTATGTTATGACAATATTGGAATATGAGTTGAGTTGCCAGTTAGGTCTCCTTTTTATGATGTACGTGTTA